AATTCAAGAATAATAGTACTTTGAGTATTATTATTTTGTATAAATATTAGAAAATATATTAATATTTGTATTGTATGTGTGTGAATATGGATGTTTGTGTAGATCGTAACCAAGCTCCTGAATCCAGCAAGAAAAAAGGGCAAGGATAAAATTGTCGAATAGTTAGACATCAATAGTGAGGCGTACCAGGTGAGTGCATTTATTGTACTTATATGAGATGAAGATGACTTGCGATGAGTCAACCTTGAATTTTTTACTTAAAGTATGTTTTTACAGTATTTCAATATGTTTTCATAATGTTTATGAAATTGATACAAGAGTAATTGTAGAGTATGAACTGCTCTAAAATGAATAGATGAACATTTATGTTGTGTAATCTGCTAAGTTGATTGAATAGCCCATTGCATGTGCATTGAGAGTCATAGGTGCATTTCGACATACATTGTATATAATGGTTATCGATCGATTTTGTGTAATGCATAACGGTGCATTTTCGTAACAGAATTGTGTACTTTTGGCACTAGATGTACAATCATGGTATTCATAATGAGTTTGTGAATCACCATTTCGTTATACAATTATGTATAAAGGTTATCGATTGATTTTGTTTAATGCACAGCGGTGCATTTTCGTATCATATTGTGTGTACTTTTGGCACTATGTGTGCATCCATGGAATTCATAATAAGTTTGTGAATTTCCATTTCGACACTTCGGTGCAATGCATGTACCTTGTATTCTTAATTGGCATACATTGGGCAAATAAAGAGTAAATTGGAAAATACTGATTGATAGGTATGTTGCGCATAATAAATATAGTTTATCAGGCTATTTAATGAAGATTGGTTAACTAAGACAATTTGATGTATTGATATGATTTTTATTCGTATTTTGATCTTATATGATATGCTTATATTTAAGTATAATTCATTTTGTATTACTATGCCTCATTAAGTAAATACTTAGCATATGTTGATTTTACATGTAGGAAATAACAAAGACTAGCAGAGTAAGGAGTGCAGTGGACATCATCAATCAAAGGTTGTCTCATCAGTAACTATAGGACATTTATGTCTATTTTTTATAATTATCTGGCATGTATTTGGGCTTATGAAAATTCTCTAGACTGTATTAAAGTTATAATTTTGTTATATGTTACAACGAACGCTTTATTTTTATTACATTAAAATGTTTTGTTATGTTTTTGAAACAAATTTTTAGGGGTTTACAAATGAGGAAATGTTTTTAAAAGTTATGTGACACTTGTGACTTGTGTATAGAAACGTATCTGAGAAATGGGTGTTACAGTAACCCTAGAACTACAAATGCTCAAAATATAGCGTATGGTTCAGCCTGTTTGATTCTTGATTCATGTCTTTCATCTTCTCGGTTATCGAGTAAACTAGTTGTATCTCGCTCATCTCCTTTGTGGCATTCTACTCGAGTCACTAACCCGTCTTCATGATTATCTGATTTTGTTTGTCATTCTTAATCCTCTCCTTCTACTTCGTTGTAAGCAGGTACGCGTTCTTTTTCAACTTGTATTTCTTCTTCCCATATACCTTTATAAACACAAGCTTTTGTTGTTTCTTCTTCATCTTTAGTTGAACCTAAAACTTACCATGAGGCAGTTCGTGATGAACGCTGAGTAGAGGCTATGCAACATGAAATTCATGCTTTAGAGGTAAGTGGTACTTGGACAGTGGTTGATTTGCCCCAATATAAAAGACCCATTGGTTACAAATGGGTATACCAGATCAAGTATAATTCTAATGGCTCGGTTGAAAGATTTAAAGCCCGGTTAGCTGCTAAGGGGTATAATCAATATGAAGGTGTTGACTTCCATGATACTTTTTCACCTGTTGCAAAACAGGTTATTGTTCACACTGCTATTGTCATGGCTGCTATGTTTGGTTGGGAGCTATATCAGATGGATGTATTTAACGCTTTCTTTCAAGGAGACCTTCATGAAGAGGTTTATATGACATTGCCAGATGGTTTTCGCAACCAGGAGGAGTCTTGAGTATGCATGTTGCTCAAATTGTTGTATGGTCTGAAGTAGGCATCTCGCCAATGGTACTTAAAGTTAACTGAAGGTCTTACTTCCAATGGTTATATGCAAAGCCTACATGATTACTCGTTGTTTACGAAACGAGAGGGTGAAAAATTAGTGATAATGTTGATTTATGTGGATGATATCTTAATCACGGGAAATGATAGTGGGATGATAAAAAAAATTGAAAAACATCATTCACAGGAATTTCAAGATGAAAGATTTGGGGTAACTCAATTATTTTTTGGGCATCAAGGTTGTATGAACAAAATAATGGATCATTCTAAGTCAACAAAAATATGCTTTGGAGCTTATTGCAGATTCTAGTTTGGGGAATACACGTAGTGTTTTCTACTCCTCTTGAGCAGAATCAAAAGTTCACTTTATCCGAGTATGATATGCATGTTGAACATCGTTCTGATGAGCTTTTAGAAGATATTGGGATGTATCAAAGATTGATTGAAAAGTTTCTTTACTTAACACATACTCGTCCATATATAATATATGTTGTTCAGCTTTTAAGTCAATTTATGCAAGCTCCTAAAAAGTTCATTATGAAGCAGCTATGCATATTTTGAGATATATTCGAAGAAGTATAGGAAAAGGCATTTTGTTTTCAGTCAAAAGTAAGCCAACTTGGTTGCGTTATTGATTCTGACTGGGCTGCTTGCCCAATGTCGAGGCGTTCTATTACTGGCTATTGTGTTAAGCTAGGAGACTCTCTCATTTGCTGGAAATCTAAGAAGCAAAGTACAATCTCACGGTCATCAACTGAGGCTGAATACAAGTGTATGGCTTCTACTGTAGCTGAGCTAGTTTGGTTGAGAGGATTGACTAAGGAATTGGGAATTGAGCATCATGAGCCAGTAACATTGTATTGTGATAATTAGGTCGCACTCTATATTGCTGCAAATCCGATATATAATGAAAGAACGAAGCATATTGAGATTGATTGTCACTTTGTTCGTGAGCAGATACAAAAGGGAGTTGTTTGTACCAAACACGTTTCAACTAAAGATCAACAGGCTGATATTTTCACAAAAGGCTTAGGGTCAAACCAATATGAACGATTGAAGGTCAAGTTGGGAATGAAAGACATGAATCATTCTCCAACTTGATGGGGAGTGTTGAGAGACTAGTTAGCAAATTAGTTAGGGAGTTCGTTTGTTTGTTAGCAGCAATTTAATGATTAATTAATTTATATAAATATATTAGTTGATTGTACATAATACAGAATGAAGAGTAAAAATCAATATTCTTTTTATGTAGCTCTTTCTTCATCTTCTTCATTTGTGTTATTACCTAAATGTTGACACGAGAACATGTTCCATCAATGAATCCAACCTTGTTTTTGGCTAACAAGGCAATGCGCATAAATCTAATCCATAGATTATAAGTTTCCATGCCAATTAGTTGATGAGAAACGAGTAACGTTCACGGCGTATCCGAATGATGAAGATAGAGAGAATGATTATAGTCGATCTAAGTTGTCTCCGGTTGAACCATAATTGTACAGAACAAGAAACCATATCAGAAAAACAACAACTAAACCAACTTACCGGGAACAAATTGAACTGAAACAACTGCCGATGATGGCCAATGATACCATGTCAACATTCAGGTAATAGCACAAATGAAGAAGATGAAGTAAGTGATATATGAAAGAATATTGATTTTTACTCTTCATTTTGTATTATGTACAGTTAACTAATATATTTATATACATTAATTAACCACTAAACTACTGTTAACAAATTAACTAACTCCCTAATTAATTTGCTAACTAGCCTCTCAACAATATTGTAATAATTTAATAAACATTATTTATTTTAATAATATTATTAAAATATTATTTTATAATTTATAAATAAAAAAATTAAGATTAATATATTTTATTAAATAATAAATAATATTAATAGTATCAATTATTTATTAAAACAAAATTATTATATTATATTATTAAAATAATAAACATTATTATTTATTTACTAAATTAAATATTTTATTATTAAAAATATAATATTAACATAAAAATATTATATTATATTTTAAAAATGATTAATAAATATATTTTAAATATTTTAATAATAAATAATATTAATAATTTATTATATATCATTAAAATAAAAATATTATAATATTATAATATAATTGATCATATTATTAGAAAAATATATTATTGAAATAATAGTATTACATTATTAAAAGTTATTAGTAAACATAGTTTAAATTTTTAATAATTAATAATTTTATTAAAATATTATATTAACATTAAATATATAAAATAATATTATTCATTATTAATAATTCAATAATATTACTTTCATAAAAATAATAAATTATGTTAATAATTTATTATATATATTATATAAAATAAGTATATAATAATATATATTATTATAATATAACTGAATATGTTATTATATTATTGAAAATATAATATAATATTAATAGTTATATTTAAATATTTTAATAATTATTATTATTAAAACAATATTAAACTATTATACTACCATGAAATACATAAAATAATATTGTTATGAGTGTTTATATTTTAAAATAAAAAATTGAGATAATATTTTATAAAAAAAGAAAACTACTAAAAAATAAATTATATTAATCAAATTATTTTACCGACCATTGAAATATGAAAAAAAAGTCGTTATATAAATTACATTAAACAAAATAGATCCTTAGTAAAAATTGCATGTGATATGTTTTTGAATTTTTATTAAAAAAAACAATAAAAAGAAATGCCATCTTAAAGTGAGAAACGGCACCGTGTGAGAGTAGGTGGATTACCACAGATTATATGAGAATTGGAAAAGACAGTAACACTCGCAAAACACTTGAATTTATCATCAACGGTCAATATCATCCTCAAATCAGGTAAACGTCAACAAATGCAACTTACACCATTTCTACTAACTCAAGAAGAAGAGTAAAACAAATTCAAGCAAAAAGGAAATGAAGGATGACGACGTTCTGCCGACGACAGCGGCAACGACAACGTTCGCTAATGTGAAAAAGGAGAACTCAGATTCGAGTTTATTTGGTAAAGACCGTTACAAGTTCTGGGCATTAGCGGCGATTTTGTTATTGGCATTCTGGTCGATGTTCACCGGTACCGTTACTCTCCGGTGGTCAGCCGGTAACCTCAACCTTCTTTCCGATGATCTTGATAGCCACATTCACGACGATCTAGATGTTCTGGTATGTTCCCCCGCAAATTTCTCTACCCTTTCTCCCTTCTAATTTTGCTTTTGTATGAAGTTCTTTTCTCAATTGTTCTTTTTTTCTTGCTTCATTTTTGGTTAGGAAATGGAGGAGAGAGAGAAGGCGGTGAAACACATGTGGGATGTGTACACTAGCAGCCATCGGATTAACTTACCAATGTTCTGGCAACAGGCGTTTGAGTCTGCCTACGAGGACTTGATCAGTAATGTGCGTGGGGTTAGAGAGGATGCAATCACTGAGATCGCTAAGATGTCCATACGCTCCGTGGATCTTGATGCTCCGCCAATCCGATCAACGGTGAGTGTTTAGGCTTTCCCTTGTTAATTGCTTAACTTTTGATGATCTAGAATAACTGTTGCAGCTCTTGTATTTCCGCATTTGAATAAACACATGCTTTGCTTAACATGTGATTGTTCAATATCCGTTTACATGTAAGTGAGCAAAAGCAACCAGCTTTTCCGTTTATTGCTTCTGGGTTTTATATGTTATGTAGATTCCATTTCATCGAAGTTATTTTTTTCTCTTTGGTTCATCTTCCTTTTGGGCAATTAGCATTAAGTGAGTGGGAATGGGATCTAGAATTTCTATTTATGTAGCAGTCTAGAAAACACCGACTTATTTTAGAGTATTTAGTCTTGTTTTAACTGTTTTTCTTCAATTTTGTGCCAAGAAAGGAGCTATGATATAACATTTCATTCCTAGTCTCTTATAGTTACTGTTTTCATCTTTGCCGTTAAGTTGCCCTTCTTATTAGTTTTATCGATTCTTTTAGTAGATTATGGAATATCGATTTTTCTTTCCTAATAATCCACACTAGAGACTAGAATTTGACGAATATTAACAGCCTGTCTACCTCTTTTGATGGGCGAAATCAGTTATGAGTTCTGACAAAGCTATAGATAATCCTAATCTGGATGATTCTTCCGTCTAGAGTTTGAGAATCCAATTAAGTGGCATTTGCCAACGTGTTGCAAGAATCCAATTAATCTGGATGATTCTTCCCTCTAGAGTCTGAGTTCTGCCTACGTGTTTCAGAAAAAAAAATGCAAGGGGATGGAGATATAAGGTTTGGTGATTCAAGTTTCTCCGATATTGAATTCTAACGAACTGTCTAACTCTCTTGGTGGGCGGAATCTGTTCTAAGTTCTGACAAAGCTATATCCAGTCCTAACTAGATGATTCTTCCCTCTAGAGTTTGAGGATCCAATTAAGTGGAATTTGCCTAGGTTTTGCGAGGACTTTGGTATGCTTATTTCGAAAAAGAAGTGCAAGGGGATGGAGATGTAAGGTTTGGTGGTGTAAGTTTCTCTATTATTGAATTCTTTGGTGCAAATGACCAAATTGAAATAATGAGAGATTAGGTCAATTGATTGGACTAGTAGCTGGTAAAGTTTCTAGCTGAAAGGCAAATAGGGCTGGTTAATTCAATAACTGGTATGTAGGTTTATTCTACTTAACCTGTATGACAGTTGGAGCATATCTGAATTTGCAGCTAAGGAGTCAAACAAACAATGAACTGAGATGTACTTGCTTTTCTTATTATGCATTCCCCTATCCCTATGTTTGGAGTTCCCCAAATTCAAATAATTTGAGGTTGTAGACTTTATCGATATGCTGGCGTAGATAGTCATAACCATGGTATATGGCTATAAGCTGTGATGATGTGGTTACTTTTACTTAGATATTGATTAACTTAATGAAGCATATGTAACGAATTGAGTTATCTTGTTCTTTCATTTATTCTTCCAATTCGTTTCACTTTAGTTTGACAAAAGATATGGATATTCTAGAATACGCAAGCCGTTTATCCAATACGTTATATAGTAAATTTTGTGACCATGGTAGGATGGTATTGATTGCTCATGACTCAACTCCTGTGGCATTCAATGTCTTAATGAACTGTCTCATTCTCATAGTATAAATATTTATTATGGGGTAAAATATCAGTTGAATTTGAAGGTATGCTAGACAAATTACAGCTAAAAACCAACTGAATGAATGAAGTTATAGGAATAGTAAATTTCTTTATGCGATGCTGTTTCTTTCTGTTAGCTTAGTGGATGGAATTTATTTGGCATTGGCTTTATGCTGTTACAATTGTGATGTTGTGTTTTGCAGAAGGGTCTGAAACGAGCAGAGAAAGGTAGATTGAAGGTAATTTCAAGTGGAATTGGTGAATGATATGATGTGAAGAAATGCTGGATAACGTGAGGCTTCGAACCTTAGTTACTACTTCTGAACTCACATTTTGCTGGTCTACTGCACAAGTTTGCGAGAGGTAGTGGTCTGATCCTATCGGCAAAACCTTAGTTATACATTTTGCATACAAAAACAAAACAATGATTTGTTTAGTTTGCTAGGTTTTCAATTCTCTTGAAAATTTTGCTTTCTATATCTTGTACTTTGAATTGGGTGGTAACTTCAACTCTCATAAATTGAATCCAGGAACATTTTCAGTTTTTACCCTTCTTTTATTACTTCATCATATTAATAATTTTTTATGAACAAAATGTTCTCAAATTTGATATTTGGGTGAAGTAGATGGAGTTTACTAAGGCTTGAACTATGATTTTTGTTGTTAATATACATAAATCTTATCACCTATAAACTTAACTTAAATATTTTATAGAATTTATATTTGTTAATTTTGATGATTGCATTTTATATCTTATTCCCATAAATTGTGAATTCTGGATTTTGAATTATACTTATTTGTAGAAAATAAATGTTTTTCTTTATGGTTGTATAATTTCAATTGAAAAAAAAGGAAGAAAAAAAACACGAATATCTATATTTATTTGGGGTAGGACTTCTTTGATACTCAGTTTTGCTATTGAACAAATTGGTCTTCACAATTTTCTTTTCAATAATTTTAAAAGTGAGCAATTATCGGTTTCAACTTCAAAATTGATAAATTATTTTCGAGATCATTTTATAAAAACTAAACAACTCCACCTTTTCTAAAAAGGGAGAGAAGTTATTGCTAATCAGTTTAGATGTGATTGGATCACCATAAATATTCAAATATAAAAAATTCAAAGTTGAGTTCGGAGGCACATGTTGAACACGCTTTGATATTTTGAGATACCAAAAATGTTAAATAGTTTTAGCAAATTTTAAGATGACATATGATTCAGTCATTCAAATATATAAATAGTCTTTAATGTCAAAACTCTATTTTACTCCTTACTCTATTGAAAAATTGAGTCTTATACTGGAAATATCTTTGAAATAATTTTTACTAAGGCAGACTTCAATCGAGTCAAAAATACATTTTAAGTATAGTGATATCGATACTACAGGGACAATATCGATATTGTTCATGAAGTATCGATACAACTATCGATGTCGAAGCCCAAAATTACGTAGTAGTATGAATACTACTAAGGCGGTACCAATACTGTTTGTAGGCTTGACAAAATAGAATGTTATTTTGGTACCGGTATTATTTCAGTACTGATACTATTTTTCATAGTAGTATTGATACTTTTCATGGTAGTACCGATACTACCTTTTGTTTTTGAAATTGTCAAATTCCAGTATATTCATTTGATATCGATACTACTTATTATAGTAGTACCGATACCCCTTGTATTAGTATCGATACTATCTTTCCCCAACGGCTATATTTTTGTACTTGATGCAGGGAGTATCGATACCCAACGCCCAAGTACCGATACTACAAGCTTCTAAGCAGCATTTATTGCAGGAAACTACCTCCCAACGACTCTATTCACTCTCACAACAACCCAACCGATTAGAATAAATAGAGGGAGTATAAAAACAAGATTCAAAGTCATATGTGAAGCTAAAAGATTAAAGAGAATGCCAAAAGCAACCAATTTAAATCAAAATCAAGTCAACATTCCTTTTGTTTTCAATGAACACTTTTGTACTCATTTGTTTTTTTCATTTTCTCAAGTGTTCTTATTTGTTCTTGAATTGTGCAAACACGTTCCTAGTGAGGTTTGTATATGTTTGCAATTTGTAATTTTCTTTTTGAGAGAGTGTCTCAAGAATTTGGCGTATAATTCTTGAGGGAGTTGTAAGGTTACACCTTATCCTCAAATGTAGCTACAAATTAGTAAATTTGTGAAAATCCTTAGTGTGGATAGCTAAGGTCGTGGATGTAGACTTTGGATTATAAATTCGAACCACTCTAAATTTTTGTGTTCAATTTTTATATTTTCTCTTCAAGCTTCCACCAAAATTTTTATTTGCCAATCACTCATTCTTGGTAATTTCATTCATTCAATTGACTCAATAATTGGTAACAGAGCTTAACTCATTGGAAGGATTAACATCCTCTTGAGAAGATCATTTGAAGAGTTCAATCATTTTATCATGTATGGCAACTCCATCCACTTCTGGAATTTTTGGCGAGTCTCAATTCATATCAAAGCCTCCTTATTTCAATGGTGCTAATTATTCTTATTGAAAAAATAGGATGATGCTATTTGTTCAAGCCACCGATTTATTCAGTGTGGGATGTTATCATCGACGGATTATCCATTTCGTCAAAGAGGCAAGGAGGGCTTGTTATACCAAAGGTCAAGTTAGAATGGACCGATAAAGACATAATACTCGTTCTACTAAATGTCAAGGCTATGCGTATTCTATTTTGTGCATTAAGCCTTGATGAGTATAGTAGAGTGTCTTCATCTTTCAATGCAAAGGAAATTTAGGACAAACTTGAAGTCACTCACGAAGGTACAAGTCAAGAAGTCAAAGATTAGCCTCATCACTCTTAATTATATGAATTTCAAGATGAATCCCGATGAAAACATCAAGAAAATGTTCGATCGATTCACCGTAATTATTAACGAGTTAAAGGGTTTTGGGAAGGTTTATCCAAATGAAGAAATTATGATGAAATTTCTTAATAACCTGCCAATGTCTTGTGAATCCAAGATAATGACTATTAAAGAAACTAAGGATCTTAATGCCCTTACACTTGATGAACTCATTGGGTCTCTTTTTACCCATGAGATGAAACTCAAAAAAGGAGAAGAAAAGAAGGTTGGAATTGCTCTCAAATCTACAAAGGAAGAGAGTGATTCTAGTGAGAAAAAAGATGAAGAAATGACTATGTTTGCCAAAATGTATAGAAGATTCATGAAGTCCAACATAAGAAATAGATTTCAAAGAAAAGAGGGCTTCAAGAATGAAACCAAGTAGAAGGACCCCATCATTTGCTATAAATGCAAGAAAACGTGACATATCAAGTTTGAATGTCCTCAATTAAAGAAGAATGGGTCAACCAAGAAAGCTCAAAAGGCACATGTAGTTACTTGGAGTGATGAAGAAAATTCTGATTAAGAAGAACAAGAGGTAGACAACTTGTGCCTCATGGATATGGAGGAGAGAATCTAAGGTAGCCTCTAACTCATCCACAAATGAATATTCTTTTGATGAGTTTCAAGAGACTTGATGAGTTGGCCTCAGAATTGAGAACATGCTTTCAAATATAAGAAAAATATTTCAAAATTAAAAAATAAAAATGATCTCTTATCCAAGACCAACAATGAACTTGAAAGTAAAGTCAATGATATGCAAGTAAAACTTGATGAGTTTGAAAAGAAAAATCAAGACTTACACAAACCAACTTTCAAAGGTTCATGATGATCTTAAGGTTTCTTTTAACAAAGTTAGAACAAAATTTGAAAAAGAACAACCTCTATAAACTATGTTAGAAATAGTTTTAGACTATATAAACATAGAGGTCCGCAGAACCTTAAATGAAAAAGTTGTTAGAAACATATGGGTACCCAAAGGACTCATTGTTACTAAGGGTTCCAGACTTCAATCGAGTAAAAAATTCATTTTAAGTATAGTGATATCGATACTACAGGGACAATATCGATATTGTTCATGAAGTATTGATACAACTATCGATGCGAAGCCAAAATTACGTAGTAGTATGAATACTACTAAGGCTGGGTAACAATACTGTTTGTAGGCTTTACAAACTAGAATGTTATTTTGGTACGATATTATTTCAGTGCTGATACTATTTTCATAGTAGTATTGATATTCTCATGGTAGTATACTACCTTTGTTTTTGAAATTGTCAAATTCCAGTATACTCATTTGGTATTGATATTATTCACAGTATCGATACTTTATAGTAGTACCGAACCCCTTGTATTAGTATCGATACTATTTCCTCAATGGCTAATTTTTGTACTTTATGCAGGGAGTATCGATACCCAAAGCCCAAGTACCGATACTACAAGCTTTAAGCAGCATTTATTGCAAGAAACTACCTCCAACGACTCTATTCACTCTCACAACAACCCAAACAATTAGAATTAATAGAGGGAGTATAAAAACAAGATTCAAAGTCATATGTGAAGATAAAAGATTAAAGAGAAAGCCAAAAGCAACCAATTTAAATCAAAATCAAGTCAACATTCCTTTTGTTTTCAAAGAACACTTTTGTACTCATTGTTTTCAAGAACACTTTTGTACTCATTTGTTTTCATTTTCTCAAGTGTTCTTATATTCTTTGAATTGTATAAACGTTCCTAGTGAGTTTTTTTTTTTTCAATTTTCAATTTGTAATTTATTTGAGAGGTCTCAAGAATTTGGCGTACTTGAGGAGTGGTAAAGTTACACCTATCCTCAAATGTAGCTACAAATTAGAAAATTTGTGAAAATCCTTAGTGTGGATAGCTAAGGTCATGAATGTAGACTTTGGATTATAAATTTGAACCACTCTAAAGTTTTGTGTGCAATTTTTATTTTTCAAGCTTCCACAAAATATTATTTGTCAATCACCCCTTCTTGGCTATTTCATCCATTCGATTGACTCAATAATTGGTAATATAGCTTAATCATTGGAAAGATAACATTCTTGAGAAGATCATTGAAGAGTTCAATCATTTATCATGTATGGCAATCCTCCATCACTTCTGGAATTTTTGGCGAGTCTCATTATATCAAAGCCTCCTTATTTCAATGGTGCTAATATTCTTATTGAAAAAAATAGGATGATGTTATTTGTTCAAGCCACCGATCAGTGTGGGGATATTATCACCGACGGATCATCCATTTCTTCAAAGAGGCAAGGAGAGCTTGTTATACCAAAGGTCAAGTCAGAATGGACCGATAAAGACATAATACTCGTTTCTACTAAATGTCAAGGCTATGCGGATTCTATTTTGTGCATTAGGCCTTGATGAGTATAGTAGAGTATCTTCATCTTCCAATGCAAAGGAAATTTGGGACAAACTTGAAGGTACTCATGAAGGTACAAGTCAAGAAGTCAAAGATTAGCCTCATCACTCTTAATTATATGAATTTCAAGATGAATCCCGATGAAAACATCAAGAAAATGTTCGATCGATTCACCGCAATTATTAACGAGTTAAAGGGTTT